AAATGAACGAGATTTCTCTTGCCTCAAAAAAATCAAAACATATTGTCGAAATACCATGAAACAAGAGAGAATGTCAAGCTTATCTCAAATGTCAATAGAAAAAAAAAACTTTTAAAATCTCTCCAAAACTCTAATAAATTTTACGATGACGTTATTACCCATTTTGCTACTTCCAAACAACGTAGACTAGAGTTAATTTATAAACATGTTTAGGTTCTAAATTTATAGGAAAAAAAAACAAGAAAACAAAAAATCTCCTATGAAGGTTGAAGTCTTTATTAGACGGTATACCTATCTGAGGAGACAAAAAATACCTTGCCGACCTTGTCTCTCAAGCCACGAGCCACCACTGAGTTCTTAACAGATGGGCACAACATTTCAGCGAACATTGAAATATAAACGATATTGAAGGAGGTTACAACATAGAAAATCAACAAAATCTACAGCATCAACTACACAGTGGCATTAGACCCCACAAGAGAAGAAGTGTCTAATGCCATCCTAAAATATCATATCAAAAGACAATAAAGCCCCAGGAATCGATGAAATCTGTTCAGAAATGTATAAAAAAAGGTGGTGATCAACTTTTTGCAGCAATCCATAAACTAATAGTACTTGTCTAAGTTAGTTAAGTTGACCAACTAACAATGCAAAACGTAAGCTCATGCGTTAGAATTGAAGGAGAAAACGTTCTTTGACATTAATAATGGTCTAAGACAGGGGGACGCGCTGGCGTGTCTCCTCTTGAATATTGCTTTGGAAAAAGCGATCAGACAATAAAATATTAGAATGAATGGAACTATTTTTAATAGATCGTCGCAAATTCTCGCATTCGCTGACGATATAGTTATAGTGGGCAGAAGTATGAGAGATATAGTGCAGTGTTTTACAAGGCTTGCGGACGCGGCAAGTGAATTTAGACTTGTGGTAAACGAGGAAAAAACCAAATATATGTTGGTTTCTAAAAACCCCCGAAATATCCAACAGATAATTCAAATTAACAACCATATCTTTGAGCAAGTCAAAGAATTCACATATCTTGAATCGCTAGTAAACGCAACAAACACGACAAGCGACGAAATAAAAAGACGCATAGCAATAGCAAACAGAACTGTTCACGGTCTCCAGAAACATTTAAAAAATAAAAATATAAAACGTGAAGTAAAGCTCAATATATACAAGACATTAATAAGACCGGTTTTAATAAATGGGGCTGAAACGTGGACCTTATCTCAAAATGATGAAAAGTTTCTTGGTATTTTTAAGAGAAAAATCCTTGAAGGATTTTTGGGACCGTAAATGAAACTGGGCTATGGCGTCGAAAGTACAACTTTGAAGTATATCAGTTATACACCGATCCAGATATTATGAAATTCGTTAAAGTGCGGAGACTTAGATGGGCTGGACACATTGATAGGATGTCAGATCACCAATACACGAAGAGATTAACATGGAGATGGATTGTGGTGTGGATTCTATGTGAGCAGGCCAAGATCCACAACGGATTGTCGAGCCGCTTATGATGACTTGTGATGGGCTTGCTTGGCGATATTGCAAACAACAAGAAAAATATCAACAAAAACAAGCATATACTGAAAGAAACGATTGAAAAATCATACTATAATCGATAAAAGAGAAAACGGTGTGTTGGTTCTTTAGAGAAAGAGTACGAAATTCACAAAAAGTCTAAAAGTAGCAGCAAAAAAGGCTAAACTAGTTTCTACTATTTGTAATAGTTGCTCAAATGCTCCTGCGCTATGCTTGGAATGTTTTCAAAAAAGACACAGAAAATAATATTTTTATCTGTTAAAATATATTTTTTTTTCTCTGTAACTTTTTATAACAAAATATTCAACAAATAATACATAATTTTGTACCTCAGAATAAAAGTGTATTAAGTCCAATTTTAAGCAAAACGGGATTATCAATGAAATTGACTTGGAATTAAGTCCTCTTTCATATGGTACTATGATCTAAGCTCAATCTCGAATAATAACAGAGATAAGTAGCTAATTTTAAACGGTATTAAGTCCTTGTGTCTTCTGGGAGAAAAGAATATCAAATTTAATAGTACAGTCTTTAGTTTGGTATTTTTAGTAATGACAATATTAAGTCCAAGTTTATTTTTAAATTGAAATTAAGTCCATACTTTCCCCTCACATTAATGCGCAACAGTTTGTTAAGTCCCTAGGTTCCAACAAACGGTCAAGAAAAACTGTTAGAACTGTTTCTCACTGTCCAACTCTATGCACATGTTTACCGACAATTTCTGACTAATAGTTTGAGTTTGACTGTTTGTAGGAACAGACGTTAGTTCAAATAGTAAAGTTTTCAGAGTAGTTTTTAACGTGATTTCAGTATATTTTTATTTTAAAAATGAGTAGCAGATCATAGAGAATTATTTCATTAGTGAATAAAAATGAATATAAAAATTTCTGAGTAAGAAAGACAAAAACATAAATGCTGCTTTTTGGGATGCATCCAAAGACATAAACCATAAACGTCAGTTTATATCATCGCATATCCAATTGGTACAAACGTTTAGAAAAATATGTAGAACTGGTGCAATAAAGGATTCTAGAGCTCACACACGACAGTATTATTTTGACAAAAATAATTCCATGGTACGTGTGTGCAAAGTATTTTTTGTTAACACTCTGCATATTTCTCAAACTTTTGTGACCACATCTTTGGAGAAAAAACAAGCAGGGATATTATTGCTGTGGATAAAAGGGAGAAGCATGAAAAACATGTTAAGGTACCTGAAGTTTTGAAACAAGAAATTCGTGATCATATTATGAAATTCCCTGTTGAACAATCACATCATTCGCGAGAGAGATCGAGCAGAAAATACCTGGGAAGTCACCTTACTATTGCAAAAATGGATAGACTTTATAAAGCACAGTGTGAAGAAAAAAATACACATGAAAATCTAATTGCCGAAGAATGGTTGTATAGTTACATTTTTAACACAGAGTTCAATTACTCAGCCAAATATAATTAACATTTGGAAGAAGCAACAAGAAGATACTCCTTAAAGAAAGAAGATAAAATATACACAAAACAACAAAATTCTATAATCAATTATGATATGCGTCGATTTACAAAAATGCCTCTTAACATCAGTGTTAACCAACGCGCAAAGCTTTTACTCTTTAAAACTTTGGACGTATAATTCCACAATTTATGATGCCACTAATAATGCTACTACTTGTTTGATGTGGGACGAGTCCAAATCAGGACGCGGTGCAAATGAAATGGCATCAGGATTGCTAAGGTGGGCAATATCACATGTTAAACTTCACCAAAAAGAAATTATTGTATGGTCTGATAACTGTCCATCTCAAAATCGAAACATCCCAACAATCGAACATACATATTGTTATGGTTATAGCTTATTTTTATATATTAAAAGAAATTCCAACGTTGAAAACCATTACACATAAATTCTTATTGCGTGGTCATACTCACTTAGAAGTTGATGCTTGCCATTCATTAATAGAATGCTAAAAAAAGAAGAGTGCTGGTTTTCAAATCATGTCTCCCTGGGACTGGCAACAATTAGCTAGAATAACTAATCCGTTCGACGTGATTAATATGGAGACAAGCGATTTCAAATATTTTAAGCAATTATATAGGAACATCACGTCTCCATTTTGTCTAGAAAAAAAATGTAGATGGCATGGATGTCTCAATGTCAAAAATGGTATATTTACAAATAAGGGCAGAAAAGTATGGAACACTGTACTATAAAACTAATTTTCAAGAAAAAGAATTTCAGGCAGTCAATTTAATTTGAACTGGAAGGAGAGTCGTATTTCCTGAGGAAATATAACCTGTAAGGGATGATGATAATCCAATCTCCGAATAACAATACAAGCATCATAAGATATGATTGAAACGGGTTTCAAAGCAGTTCCATCATTTTTATGTCAACCTAAAGCATAGCAGCATACATGAAGATGATGATAACCGCACCCAATAATTTGTGTTCATTTTGTAACTTACATTGAATAACTACAATATTAGTTTCATATTTTCTATAAAGCGTTTTTATCAATAAACATTGTTATTTTATTTTGTGCTGTGTTCAAATAATAACCATAACTTGTTTGGACTTAACTTTGGAATTGTAACATAACATTTATTCTTATAATGTTAAGTCCTTAAAATAGACTTGGTATTAATACAAAACTGTATTATGTCCAAAACCAAAAAAATTATGAATTTTTGACAAATCACTATTTTAATTTCGTACTTTAATTGCTTAAAATTTACTAGTTGATAGATCATAGATTGCTGAAAAAAATTGGTTTCACATAGGAGAAAAATACTAGGCCTTACGTTAAAAACTGCACATTGATAAATTTCAAACCGCTCTCCTGAAAAATCGATATTTTGGACTTAGTACACTTTTATTCTAGGGTACAGAATTGTTTTATTAATAGTAATTTTTTCGCCAGATCTTGCTATTTTCTTATTACTTTTGTAACTTAACTAACATGAATTATCCGTGATGCCCACTTGTCCAACATGATATTAGATTCATTTACATCCCACCGGCATACTCTGTTTGCCCGATTTTATATACCAAAAATATTGATGGTCATTTAAACTGTACTCTGCAAAGTATCACGGGTGATAGACATTGTCCAGAAATAAACCAAGAAAGTTGATCACCGGTGATACATATGGTATCACAACGCAATATCATCACAGTCTCATTGGTAGGCAACCTGCTAATATACGTATTAAGATAGAGAGGTACATAAAGTTAATATAACTATAATAACACCAAACCTCTATAAACGAAAAAGTACTCAAACTTTGAATCAAATAAGACAATTAAATAAAGTAAATATTATAAGAAATATAAAACTTACTTATTATTGGAATACTAGAATACGTAGAATTTAAAATAATTTTTTTAAGAGTTATAACATTGCTTTTTCCCATAAAATAAAATTATTAGCCCATAAACAGTTTTTTACAAAACTTACCACATAAAATATTAATAGTTAACTCCCACATTCACAGGTATCAATCACACTTGGGCAACAATCAGTGATCAATATTTATTTTTTCTTACGATAGTTGTACTGAATCGGTCTAGCGCAAATCCTGTACTATATCAATCGAGATTAAGATCGACAGTACGTATATCTAATGATATTACTTTTGTTTTATGCATGTAATAAAAATCACTTCACATATTATAAATTCACATATTCGATTTATTAGACTATTCTCTTAAGGTTATTATTCATACTGAACACGGATTATAGCTATGGGCAAATTTTTGTGGTTTCGTTATAGTTTGTTGACAGACACCTCATGTAAAAGTTCACTGAATTATATTATTACCATAATGTGACCAATAATTGGAAATGTGTACGCTATTACTATGTTTCCATATATGTTGCTCATTTTAACTCCTCCTCTATTCTTTATCCTTCGTAAGGATGTGGTAATGGTATTCGACGCATGGTTGCTATTGATTCATTCTTCTCTCTCCTGGACGTGGTGTGCTGCCTTAAACAGAAAGTAACCGGTGGTGCTTTTTATTTGGTCTGATCATCCGAGTAGCCGTATTCATCGGTTTCGTTTACCATCTAATTTGCCTTTAACCACGAATCTCTCCATACCTTCCGTTCTTCTGGCTATGTGTTTAAAATACCCCAATATATTTTTCTTGATGATTATCGCAAATCTAGTGTTAATGTCGAGTTCTGCTAACATTGAGATATTTGTGTGGTCTGCTATGCTATATTACTCCTAGTATTACTCATCACGATATAACATTTCCATTTTTGTCAAAAAAAATCCCAACAATCTAAATCAAAAAGATGATGCTCAAAGGCTACAACATGGAAAACGGTAAATATCGTCAAAATAATGCTGTTTATCAAAATCAAAATTATTATTCAACGCCGAAACAAACCCGGAAAACCCCAAAAAGCAAGAAAGCACATATAGCTCCCGCAGAAATGTGGAATTATGTGGCTGATTTCTATTCAAGATGTTTATAGGTTTACCAACTTCTGCAACAATTTTAAAATTGCTTTATCACACAATCATTTTATATGTTGTATACAAAAAAAAATATTTCTTGGCTACAATGTAAAAAAAAACTTTAAATAAAGCTATAAGTTTCACAATATTTTAATCAATGTATACAACATGTATTATATTTAATACTTTTGATCCATGCCAATACTTGGTAAATGTGCATTTGGTCATTTACATACTTGCATTACATACATACATTTTAATATATTCTTAACTTTTATAGATAAGTACATATTGGACAACGATTAAAAAATAAAGCAATTTTTTTATTTTTTAAAATAATAATATTTATAACAATAAATAATATTTATATATTAAAGTGAAATCTAAGAATTTATCCAACTTTATACCTATCTATCTATGTTATACATTCAAAACTGTTTTTTCCAATTTTAAATAACCACCTCTGTAATGCTTATAGAAAATCTTGTTTAATAAGGATGGCCCAAGAAAGTCGCAAAACCAGCTCTTGGTTGAACACTGGACTCGAACACTTAGTGAAATCTAAGAATTTATCCAACTTTATACCTATCTATCTATGTTATACATTCAAAACTGTTTTTTCCAATTTTAAATAACCACCTCTCTAATGCTTATAGAAAATCTTGTTTAATAAGGATGGCCCAAGAAAGTCGCAAAACCAGCTCTTGGTTGAACACTGGACTCGAACACCTTAGCAAGAACAAATTTTAATAGAGAAAAACGCACCAAACTCAAAGAGGATTGGGATTTTTATCAATCAACCCCCAGAGAGTTTAAGAAAGCCTGCAGACAAAGACAAAAAGCTGCTTGGAAAACCTTCTGTAGGGATACAAAAAGGGTTCTCAAATGACCTAAATCAGCATATCGGCATATTAACGAAGGTAGATAGAAGCAAAACTTCCAACCTTTGCGAAAGTGTGTAGCGTTTACGCTACTGATTAACCCCTTTAGAAATTTTTATTACCCGCCTACGATCGATTTTAAATCGACATTTCCCCACCCACGCGCTGTTATCGCTTTGAAAGGAAGATCGATTTTATGCGGAAGCGGAACGATTAGTTTTGGTCAGAACTCGTTAACGCAGCCACGTCAACCGGTGAAATTGTTCACGTTCAAAGTGACGGAATTGGAGCAAGGAAGATAATTTGGGGAAGAATAAAATAGAAATATTAATATCTAATTCAAAGAATCATATCTCAGTAATAAAATAATAATAAGTAAATTTTTTAAATCAATATTTATAAGAGTTCCACATAAAAGGAAGATTTTTTTGGCGTGCTGCAGCTCCATGTAAGTAAATCATTTCATACGTATTATCTCTTTATCATATAATCAAATTTATCATTGTATTTAGTATTTCTTTAGAGATTTATTTTTGAGTTCCGAAATAATTTAAATATAAAATTTCCTTGATTTACTTGCAAAGAACAGAAGGTCATTTTTTTTATATAGTTAAATTTAAATTCTGTTTTAGTCCATGTCGTTATCATTAAGTTTTTTTTGGTTCCCATTTTGTATCTAACTTTTTTTGGTGGAATATAAAAAGGTTCGACAAATATTGGACAGCCTTCTATATTCTGCGCATGTTCTTTTCATGGCGCAAGCCTGTCATGTCTACGAAGTAAATTCGGAAGTTCTGACATGTTGACATAACCTAATGTTTTGATGTTTTGTTTTGGTGCAGTCAATCCATGCTGCTACACCTATTGAATTGCATTTATTAAATTAAATAATCATTTTAGATTCCGTCACTTCACTTGAGGATATTCTCTTCAGAATATTCCCTCAAGGATATTAGTAACTTTGAATCCTTAGTTAGCAACTGGTGTATGTAACCCGTGGATTTTGCTGTCACCCAGAGACCAGTGACTGGTTGTGGCTTTTGTGCCCAGGATTCGTCTTTACAGCCATAAACTGATGTAGCCGTGCCAAGAGGAGTTTTTCCTATGGACTTATAGTGCTGTAAAGATAAGTTGTTTAACTATTTGACTTTTTTGTTACTATCTATTTACTGTTAACCTCTTCATATGCATATGATAAGGTGAATACCTTTGTGATAATTTAATTTTTGATATAATCTAATTCTAAAATATTGGGAAGAAGAAAATACCTTTCATGTTTTTATTAGGTTTTTTTTTTTACTAAGGATGTAAAGGGTTTGACCAAACTCATTTTTTTGATATAATATTTTTTTTTGATATAATACAATTTGATTTTGGGAAAGGAAATAAATTTCATATGTTTTTTTTTTAACATTATATAAAGAGTATTAAAGACTCACCTTTTTGGATATAATATAATAATTGTAACAGAGTTATCATTGTTGATATCTGTACAATACGGTAATTATTTCTCATTTTAGTTGAACTAGCTAAATTTAAATTACTACCGTTTTGTGTTAAGACTTTGGCTACAATACGGACTATTCTTGTTGTATACTAATATTTCATATTTTATTTGGCCAGTGGTAGTGACTATTCGTTTGTTGAGGGACTATTAGGTCCCACTGTATGTGTACACCATCCACTACCACTGTTATTTGGCTTTGCATTATATGTACATTGTTTATACACATATACCTATATACATTTTTTATAAATATATTTATTGTTACTATTTTGAGTTTTATTTCAGTTCTACTAACCAGTATATAACATAGCAAAACAAGATTATTATTTAGTATTTTTGTATTTCAGAGTATTATCTCCAGATTCATTTGTTACTTCAAAATCTCAACTATCGTTGAGTTGGCGCCCTTCTTTTCTCTTCCTATTGTTCTCTTTCTATAAATTTATTCCCAGTGACCTTCTTCAGTTGTATCACGTTTGATATTACCAGGTCTCATTTCTTTCTTGTCTCATTAGCTCATTATCTCTTGTTATTGTTGTTTATATCTTTAAAGCCACAATCCAGTGCATTGAAGCTAGCCCGAACACTCTCTTGAGATTTAGTGTCTCTTTGGCCATTTAAATTTGTTCCTCTGAGCTTAGCCCTATTTTTAAGATTTTTTTTATCACCTCTTTTTCAGTTCTTCTGGAATTTGGAAGTCTTACACTTCCTAAAATCCAATACTCCCGGAGAATTAAGCGTTTCAATTGGCTAGACCCAACGTGTGGCTTCTTTTCCACTTCTGCCTTAAAAAAAAAATATATATATATATATATATATATATATATATATATATATCTCCTTTAACTTTTGATTTTGATCTTGGGTTGTTGTGGTTTTCACTGGTTGTGCTTTTAGATTTTCATTTTAACGTTTAGTTTTGTTTTTCAATTTTTTTTTTGGACATTACCTTATATCTATATCTTAAATTGACTTGTTTTTGCTATATACTGTGTAGACTGAATAAATTGCTTTGTTTTTGATTGATTAAATAACAATTTTAGATTAATAATAAATTAATTAAAAATTTAAATAACTAAAGTTAACTATTTCACATATTTTACAAGTCCGGAGTAGCCAATAAGTTGAGTCACTACCTCGAAATAACAGTTTTGAAATTTTAGGTTCCTTAGGGTGTTGTAGCAGTATATGTCATTGGATTTCATAACTGGACCAAAACAATTAAACATTACTGGTATAGGTATCCCTTCAGAATATTAATTTGAGGACAGAGAGTAAGTTAAACTTTACCTACTTTTACTCATTCTCTCGTATATTTCTCAGTTGTGTAATATGTCTGCGTTCAAGGTAGAGCATCTGTTAGCTCCTGAATTAGAGTATGAGTTGAGAGTCCGTCACTTAAACGATCCATCTTTGACAACGGTGGAAAGGAAAAGGGTAGTGTTGCGTGGTGCATTGAAGCAAACTTCATCCAATCGGAGTTTCGCTGTTCTGTCAGCTTCCCATCTTAATTTTAAGGATGAAATTGCCGAAATAGAGGTTACTCTTGCAGATCTGGTGGTCAAAATTAATTCTTTTGTTGGTTCTTCTAGTGATACTGCCTATGCTCGTTATACTTCTCGGTTAGGTCATGTTTCAGCTAGAATCCATCTGTTAGAAGCTACAACAGAGGAAGAGGAGGAAGTGAAGAGGTCTCTTAATTTCAGGGTTTTGATTCTGGAAGGTGAACTTGATTGTAAAGTAATTCCCCAGGCACA